TATGATGAATCACAATGAAAACCATTGCGTATCTATCGCATATTCGACGAGAGTTTACTCGATGAGGAGAGCATTTTCAGTAGAATTAAAAGATTACTAGGCAATATATTCAAGAAATGAAAGAACTGGTTTACAAAAAAGTTTTCAATCGATTGTTGTCACTTCACAAACATCAGGTTTATTATTGACGAGATCATCTTTTGGTGTTTTGGTGGGGCATAATCGTCCGAACAATCGCATTGCACACAAAGCAATGACAAAAACCAATACTCCAAACGAAACAGCCAAAAAGTCAGGTGCAATCACTCCCACAGGCGATCTGCAATTGAAGATTTTAAATCAGAAATTAATGATATTTTCAGAGGCACTTCATTAGACGTTCCATGTACACAGTGTAACGTCCTCTTTCTTTTTTTGTTTTAAGCGAGCCTTACCTTTTTTAGACTGCTCGTGATGTCTAATTTTCAAAAATCATGTGCAGGAGTCAGGAATCATNCAATACTCCAAACGAAACAGCCAAAAAGTCAGGTGCAATCACTCCCACAGGCGATCTGCAATTGAAGATTTTAATTCAGAAATAATGATATTTTCAGAGGCACTTCATTAGACGTTCCATGTACACAGAGTAACGTCCTCTTTCTTTTTTTTGTTTTAAGCGAGCCTTACCTTTTTTAGACTGCTCGTGATGTCTAATTTTCAAAAATCATGTGCAGGAGTCAGGAATCATGTTCAAGAGTCAAAACGATATATTGCATGAAAACACTTTGGAATTCTACGCTCAATGAAATAAACTGAATGAAAATATGCATGGAATTAGTATAATTTTTTAAATTTTTTCGCGAAACTTATAATTAAAGGCATTTGTTGCTGTGCTCATTCGTCCCCTAATGATGGCATAAAGTGCCCCACACAAAAGATTTAGCAAAAGGGAACAAAGTGCAAAGATAGCAATAGTGAAACGTTAATATTATATCATACAAGTACTATTAGAAACATTAGTTTTATTACATCATATCTATTGCAACTATCATTGTTGTAATATCCCCACATTTATTATGAGTGCCATTTTTACAGTTGTCGAAAATTTTTGTCATTTCTATTATTATAAATGTGAGAAATATCATTATCATCATTAGTAGTAAGCACTAAATTACTGACTGCAATTCGTTTCAATAAGCGAACTGAAATGAAAGAATGAAGTTGTAAAACGAACCGGAGATATTGGTAACAGCATTCAATGCCACAACACCAAGCATTCGCTGGACAAGACCAAATGATTTTGCGAATCCTTTTGAAATTGTTACCCGAATAAATATTGTTCAGCAACTGAAATTGCATAATCAACATGATTCTTTAAAATATACTCAGATATCGCTAAACTCGATTACTAAGCGAAAACTTTGAGGCAGAAAGCTAGAGGCTTAATGCTAGCCTCCGATCTTAGAAATCGAGCAGTTAGAATGCAGTCAACTTCTTCACAGCGTGTGATTGGTTCCCTTTCATAAGCATATCCTCAACCACACACAAGTCAAATTACCATTATCTACTCGGAATATTCATCGCCAGCTAACAACAAACTAAAAGTTTTAGGTGCGATTCAACCAGTTTTGAAAAACCATTCAGATTGGATATAAGCAAAAATAAATAAACGAGAATAGGAGATCAGTTGCTGAGTGAATAGGTTTTATTATTTGAAATACATATTCCGACAATTAAAACTAGTGAACTTGTACTTTTCTTCAGAATGTAAACGTCGCCAATTTTGCACACTTACAATACAATTTTCAAAAACGAATGAAAGTGGTCATTAATATGAATGGAATTGATCCTTAAAACTTGTTTTTAGAACATAAAATGATGTAAAATTCAATGCGAAATTAAAATATAATGCAATGGACTGTAAATGATTGGAGAGAATTCAAATGTGAACTATGCGGCAAGATGAAATTCGTGTTATTTTATGTCATCTTATGAGTGATACTTTGTGATTTGTGAAATATAAACATCGAACGTCTCATCACCAACTAATACATTTCTTCTCTCAAAACTTGTCTTAAATTTTCAACTTATGCTTGCAACATTTCAAAAAGCGAATGATTTGATATAAAATGATACGAAAATGTTCATCAGCGAAACTCACAACACTGAATTGAAAAAATTCGTGAGAATTATATAGAAATGAAATTCTGAGAGTGAATTTATTGAGAGGAAACAAGTAAAAGATAAAACAGACATTTGTTTCATTGACATTAAGCTCGCACTTGATGTTCCATTTAACGTTGTCTTTATGGCTTTTATACGATGATTCGGACAAATAATACTCAACATCAAAATACTGAAACGTTTCATCATCGCTCGTCAACAATGACCACTTTTCGTTCTCTCCGCTTTCATTCCTCAGCAATAAAGTGCTTTGAAAGGTTCTGAAATTTGACGTTATTTTTTCAAGTTAAGAAGGCGAATCAGGAGTACAACTCACGTATTGAACCAAAGATAATCGAAACTCACCGATAACTGTCCTCATTTGAAAAATTTGCCATCTGATCGTAGGCTGCACCAGACGATGAATAAAATGGAATTGGGAATTGTTTCGCGTATAACTTATCAAATTTGAATAGCAATGAAAAACTGATCAATAAAATGACATTATTCATGCTGATGCAGCAGCAGTCAACAGCAACAGCAATGCAACAAGATCGTCTGAAAGTAAGAGCATTATTTGCTGTTTGCTACGCGATAATTGCTGATGGATGTGTCTTTGAAAGAGGACGTATCGAAGACGAACACAATTATACACATATCAGTACTGTACGATCAACGAATACGTATGAAACACCTTAACATCGACATCTATCATTAAGGCCACCACTTTATGCAAATTCCATTGTCTTCTCGGCAATAACACGACGTTTGCGTAATAGTGGTCAACAACAGTTTTTTAATCAACAACAACATAATGACAGTTCATAATCATAATGAGAGTCTTCCGTTTCATCAACACTTCGGCTTGAAAGTGAACTGATCACTCAGATCAATTCCACCGTATTCTGTTTGAAATTAGACGATACCTATCATAGTTCTAAAATAAAGATATCTTTTAAAGTCTAATGGTATCACACCGATTTTATTGCTTCAGACAGTGTTAATTCAAGTAATTACATTGAATCAGCTAAATCTGCCTGCTCAAAAACATTCTTCCGAGTAGTGGTCAACTTCAACAAATGACACAAAATATCATTTGCAACAAATCTCGAAACAAAAAAAAGATCACCACTGGCTGAAAATATGCAGCCAATGATGATCTTATCGAATCGTAGTGTAATTGAAAGACTTATCTAATTATCAGATTATCTTCAAGAAAACAGTGAAACTCTTACTTCACCACTCAAGAACGTTCAACGTTCATTCTTCAATGAAACGCCCAATGATTAAGCAGTGCTTTATTATTGGTTGACGAACGAAAAAGATTTTTCAAAACCTGTTTATAGTGTATAAATTCGTGTATGCAGAGCCATCTGCAACTGAGGTGCAATTCACTCATGCTGATCGTTTTAATGGCGAATTTGAATGTCAAATGATTGTTGTCGTCACAATTCATTTGTGACATCCTAATGTCGAATGCACACCAAAAAAAAGTAAGTTAGCTATGTATTTGCGGAGATGATCACAATCTTGTTTACGCATGTTCATTCAGCTTTACATTCAGCAAAAGTGCACGAACAGCAACACGAACGAATAGCAAATCGCCTACCAAACCACTGATTTTAAAAATTTTAAGAAGTCAAAGAGCACAATTTAAGTATAGATTATAACCAGCAGTAGGGCTTTATTGAAAGCGTACAAAACTGACTAACAATTGACCAAATCGACATTGACTAACGAAAATTTAGCCCAAGGTGAATAATGTAACAGATTGCAACAAGCATGATGCATTTAAAAACTGGTACTTAAACAATCAAAACGTGCACAAGTGATTAGCACTCTCTCCGAATCTCTCTCTTTGTTCAGTACGTTATTCGAATGACCGCACCCAAAATGCTCTTTCGAAAATGATTTATGTAATAACAGCCAACTGTCCTTATGAATTGTACTTATGAAAATCCACTTATGAATCGCCCCCCAATTAGATCATTTGCGATGCTCACAATCAGCTAATTCAAAACAATTCGAATTTACCTATCTTCACTTCGGGAACATTCAGAAATGAAAGCATTATTGCTATGCATTTTTTTCAATCTACAAGGTTTGTTTCAACAAAAATTGATATCAAAAACGGTCATTCGATGTACTGCCCTCTGACTTTAGCATAATATTCGAAGCTCATCTCTCGATGAAACATCTTCCTCACTGACACAAAATCACAACAAAAACGACAAACAAGCGCAGCAAATGAATTATACACCAAATTACGAAAGAATTTATCATGCCAAACGTTCAGTAATGACATCGATTATCAACTAGCTCAGCAATTCAACAGTACGAAATCGATAAGAGAACCTCATCACTCGTTGGGTAGTCCGATTAAGTAACCTTCAAGCGAAGGGTCAACTCTCAGAGACTAATAATCATAACTGTCGTTAATGATCGATCTCTGATTCACATCTATAACAGAGAACACCTTCAATTGCTCAGCAATTGCTGTTTGTTTTTTGTGATTTGTTTTTGCTTTTCAGCAGATCACAACTTTCAGTACACCACAGCATTCGCAGCTGTGTAGTGCGCTTGAAACTTGATTTAATTTTCATTTCTTTACTGCAATGCAATGTTTGCGATGAAAGACGTTCCACAATTTCAAAATTTTATCTTTCAAAACATTTTGCTGCTTTTTTTACTCGATTATGTTATCATCGTTTGAGCGGTTAAGTTTTCAACTGTGCCTTCTTCGCCCTATCACTGCTATCGCGTGTTGCTCGTATGAAAATCACTTGCTGATTGGAACAGTGATAAGAGAATGCCTTTGAAGCTGAATCATTAAACTCAGTGGTTGATTCTCGACAGGTAGATTTGTCTTCTTGCTGAACGACTGTCAGCTGAAAGTTGCAGTTGAGATGACTTCGCTGCAAACGATCATACTTCTTGCCGTATGTTTTGCTCAATCAAAAACATCAAAAATTCTCGTCATGTCAGTGCACGGTTCATCAAGTCACATCGGCAGTATGCTACCGTTTGTTTACAAGTAAGTCAAAGCCTTTTCACTGCTCAAAAGCAACCACTACTGAACATAACCGAGTATTTGAACTGTAAACAACCAACTTTTTTCTTTGTTTCGAATAAAATCTTCCTCAGCGAAAGGGAATGTTCGATTCCCGTTCGCGGGGGAAAGTTTTGCTAGAAAGCAGGTGGTGTACCACTATCATTGATGTTGTGAGCCTGAGCCAGGCTATGATTTGGCTTGCATCTATTATCTAACAACCAACTTTTACCATAGCCAAACGATCACCTTGCTCTATGATAATCTCTTTGAACACTTTCGATGTTCGTTGAGATCATAGATCGAACTGAATACATGATACGGAATCAGGAGAATTTGCTCATTATTTGATTAGTACTAAAAGCCATTACAGTGACACGTGTCTGAACACTAATCAGTACATTTCCAGCAGATGTACGAAAAGAATTACACTCTTGCCATTGTGCCATTTGACAGTGAAACTCGTGATCATTTCAAAGAGTGCAATGTGGTTTACCTGATATATAGTAGTAGTCTCACAAGTAGGATGACTATTAAGTATTTTTGAAAGTCAACATTTTTGTAGGCTGGCGCAAGCGGGACATTCGATAACAATTCTAGAGACAAACGATCGACGAGAAGCTACGGATTTTGGGAATGGCATAAAAACCGAACACATTTACATTCCTGACGATGCCAAGCACAGGGAGGTATCTTTCCTCTTCTGCACGCCGTTCTCGTGTCACAATAAGTCATCGCTGTCTCATTAAACCTCACTCAGTTCAAGTAATGCCTCTCTGTTGTAAAGGCTTATTTCGTGTTCCAGGCTCGCAGCAAGATCTGGTGGCAAAATTCACCGACCAGTAATCTTATTGTCTCACTTTACAAGGTTGTCGGTGATAAATCGTTACAAATGATGCTCGAATACGATTCAACGGCGGTAACTTCCACCCGTCCTAATCGTTACTCACTCACGAAATCCTAACCGATGGCCCATCGCCCAAATCGCTAAAAACGACCCTTACACTCAAAATATAGCAATATTTAATAAATACTTTCAAAACAGACAAGAAAATTTTGCGGCAATTTTAAACATTTTATGCTGTTTCAACAAAATCGCCTCCTACAAAATCTGTTTTTGCCCACTAGTGAGCGATATTGCACACGCCAAGAAACAATGAACTTCGGATGAATGTCGATGATTTCAGTTGAGGCGAGTGATGAACGCGACTTGGGATCTGTTGATTTCTGACGAATTGTTCAATGTGCACGGTTACGGTATCGCAGCTTATCACAGTCAACGCAATCGCACTCCTTACATCATATTCAGTCCGTCACTCATGCTTTACACCAACTTCGTTATCAATTCTCTGGGTAATGTCGATCTCACAGTTTAGTTTGTAAACTCGTTGTTTCAATCACTCTCTAAGACAGCGTTTTGCGGTGCTTAAGTTTCAACTCGGAATGGTGGATAGTGTCGTCACGAATTATTCTTATTCTCTTAGAAAGGATTTTTAACATAAGATATTTGCACAGGACGTTGTTCGGTCTGCCGTATGCCGATGTCATTATCAAGTACAACCGAACTCGCTTATGAACCAACTAAATTTGCACATCGAGTTGGAAGTGCTTTCGAACATATCACCGAATATATTGGACTTCGATATTTCAGTAAGAATTCCATTCAGGAATTTTGGAATTGGTTCATCAGTATTTGAAGTTAATGATAACAGATGCATACACACATATATCAAGCGTCGTTCTGTGACGGAATTCAGACTGCGAGAGAGTGAGCTAAGCATTGGCTACGGAATGATTTATTCTTAAGTTAGTAAATTGGAAGGATGATAACCGAGAAGGTGCTTGGTAATATTCAGCAATGAATTGTTCGGAATCAGTCTCAATTGAATTGGAAATGATTCCAGTTCAATGGTTCGGGATGCCACACTTGCGTGAAATTGGTGTGTCAAATTTCGAATGGATCAAATTCTTCGAAGGAGTATCTGCGTTACTAGGCGATTCTCTCATCAACATCCCGCACCCAACACCACGTATCTTTCATCTTTGCCTGCATTTGTTTGTTACTCATCCCATTATATAATTAGAATCTCGATAATCTGTTCTTCAGTGGAACGTATCGCTATAATTATCGCCAACATTCCTAATTTCACACCAGGATTTTCTGAATATTTATTCCACGACCGTTTAAAATTGCATTTTAACTAT